GAAGTCTGCTGCCTCCCTGGGGCCAGGGTCAGGGACGTTGCCAGGAAGCTCCCCAACCTGGTACGCCCCTCTGATTATTATCCTCTCCTGATAGTCCAGGTGGGCAGTGACAACATTGAAGACAGAAGCCTGAAGGCAATCAAAAGAGACTTTAGGGGGCTGGGACGGTTAGTGGACGGAGCGGGAGTGCAGGTAGTGTTTTCGTCCATCCCTATGGTGGCAGGGACGGGTACGGAGAGGACAAGGAAAGCCCACCTGTTAAATACGTGGCTCCGGGGCTGGTGCCAACGCAGAAATCTTGTTTTTTTTGACCATGGGGCAGTTTACTCAGCACCTGGCCTGATGGCCGTAGACGGGTCCCTATCCTTTAGGGGGAAAAAGGATCCTTGGCCAGGAGCTGGCGGGGCTCATTGATAGGGCTTTAAACTAGGTAAGAAGGGGGATGGGGGTGAAGCAAGGATTGGTGGGGCTGTGCCAGGGGGAGCAATGGCAAGGCCGGAGGATAAGGTGAAGGCCTAGCTGAAGTGCATCTACACCAATGCACGCAGCATGGGTAACAAACAGGAGGAGCTGGAAGCGATCGTGCAGCGGGCAGGCTACGACTTGGTTGCCATCACGGAAACGTGGTGGGACCAGTCTCATGACTGGAGTGCTGGCTATAAGCTCTTCAGAAGGGACAGGCAGCACAGAAGGGGTGGCGGTGTGGCTCTCTATATTAGAGAGTCTTTCGATATTGTGGAACTCGAGACTAGGAATGACAAGGTCGAGTCCCTTTGGGTTAGGATCGGCAGGGGCAACAAGGCTAGTGTCCTGGTCGGGGTCTGCTATAGACTGCCGAACCAGGATGAGGAGACGGATGAGGAATTCTACAGGCAGATGACAGAAGTTGCGAAATCTTCAGCGCTTGTACTCTTGGGGGACTTCAACTTCCCTGACATATCCTGGAAGCACAACACAGCCCAGAGAAAGCAGTCTAGGAGGTTTCTGGAGAAAGTGGAAGATAGCTTCCTGACGCAGCTGATTAGTGAACCTACCAGGGGTGTTGCCCTGCTAGACCTTCTCTTCACAAACAGAGAAGGACTGGTGGAGGATGTGATTGTCGGGAGCTGTCTTGGGCAGAGTGACCACGAAATGGTGGAGTTCACTATTCTTGGCGAGGCCAGGAAGGGAACCAGTAAAACCGCTGTACTGGACTTTCGGAGGGCTGACTTTGGGCTGCTCAGGACACTGGTTGGTGGAATCCCTTGGGAGGCGGTTCTGAAGGGCAGAGGGGTCCAGGAATGCTGGGCGCTCTTCAAGAGGCAAATCCTAATGGCGCAGGAGCGGTCTGTCCCCATGTGCCCAAAGATGAGCCAGCGGGGAAGAAGACCGGCCTGGCTCAACAGAGAATTGTGGCTTGAGCTTAGGAGGAAAAAGAGGGTTTATAATCTTTGGAAAATTGGGCAGGCCACTAGGGAGGACTATAAGGATGTAGCGAGGCTGTGCAGGGACAAAATTAGGAAGGCCATAGCTCATCTGGAGCTCAATCTGGCTACTGCCGTTAAAGATAACAAAAAACGCTTTTATAAATACATCAACACAAAAAGGAGGACTAAGGAGAATCTCCATCCTTTACTGAATGCGGGGGGAAACTTAGTTACAAGAGATGAGGAAAAGGCGGAGGTGCTCAATGCCTTCTTTGCCTCAGTCTTTAGTGGCAATACCGGTTGTTCTCTGGATACCCAGTACCCTGAGCTGTTGGAAGGGGATGGGGAGCAGGATGTGGCCCTCACCATCCACGAAGAACTGGTTGGTGACCTGCTACGGCACTTGGATGTGCACAAGTCGATGGGGCCGGATGGGATCCACCCAAGGGTACTGAGAGAACTGGCAGAGGAGCTGGCCAAGCCCCTATCCATCATTTATCAGCAGTCCTGGCTATCGGGGGAGGTCCCAGCTGACTGGCAGCTAGCAAATGTGACACCCATCTACAAGAAGGGCCGGAGGGCAGACCCGGGAAATTACAGGCCTGTCAGTTTGACCTCAGTACCAGGGAAGCTCATGGAGCAGATCCTCTTGAGAGTCATCGCGCGGCACTTGAAGGGCAAGCAGGCGATCAGGCCCAGTCAGCATGGGTTTATGGAAGGCAGATCCTGCTTGACGAACCTGATCTCCTTCTACGACCAAGTGACGCGCTGGGTGGACGAGGGAAAGGCTGTGGATGTGGTCTACCTTGACTTCAGCAAGGCTTTTGACACCGTCTCCCACAGCATTCTCCTCAAGAAACTGGCTGCTCTTGGCTTGGACTGGCGCACGCTTCGTTGGGTTAGAAACTGGCTGGATAGCCGGGCCCAAAGAGTCGTGGTAAATGGAGTCAAGTCCAGTTGGAGGCCAGTCACTAGTGGCGTCCCCCAGGGCTTGGTGCTGGGGCCGGTCCTCTTTAATATCTTCATCAATGATCTGGACGAGGGCATTGAGTGCACCCTCAGTAAGTTTGCAGATGACACCAAGTTAGGTGCGTGTGTCGATCTGCTCGAGGGTAGGAAGGCTCTGCAGGAGGATCTGGATAGGCTGCACCGATGGGCTGAGGTCAACTGCATGAAGTTCAACAAGGCCAAGTGCCGGGTCCTGCACCTGGGGCGCAACAACCCCAAGCAGAGCTACAGGCTGGGAGACGAGTGGTTGGAGAGCTGCCAGGCAGAGAAGGACCTGGGAGTGATGGTGGACAGTCGGCTGAATATGAGCCAGCAGTGTGCTCAGGTGGCCAAGAAGGCCAACGGCATCCTGGCTTGTATCAGAAACAGTGTGACCAGCAGGGCTAGGGAGGTGATCGTCCCCCTGTACTCGGCTCTGGTGAGGCCGCACCTCGAGTACTGTGTTCAGTTTTGGGCCCCTCGCTACAAGAAGGACATCGAGGTGCTTGAGCGGTTCCAGAGAAGGGCGACGAAGCTGGTGAGGGGCCTGGAGAACAAGTCCTACGAGGAGCGGCTGAGGGAGCTGGGCTTGTTCAGCCTGGAGAAGAGGAGGCTCAGGGGTGACCTTATTGCTCTCTACAGGTACCTTAAAGGAGGCTGTAGTGAGGTGGGGGTTGGCCTGTTCTCCCACGTGCCTGGTGACAGGACGAGGGGGAATGGGCTAAAGTTGCGCCAGGGGAGTTTTAGGTTAGATCTTAGGAAGAGCTTCTTTACTGAAGGGGTTGTGAGGCACTGGAACAGGCTGCCCAGGGAGGTGGTGGAGTCACCATCCCTGGAAGTCTTCAAAAGATGTTTAGATGTAGAGCTTAGGGATATGGTTTAGTGGGGACTGTTAGTGTTAGGTTAGAGGTTGGACTCGATGATCTTGAGGTCTCTTCCAACCTAGAAATTCTGTGATTCTGTGATTCTGTGAGGTATTTTTAATATCATAGACCATGGGAAGCACACTGTAGTTGTTGTTAGTTTACTACTTAAGTAATTGTTCTTCATAACTTAGCTGCAAGGTAGTTCAGCATATGTTGTTACCTACATATTGGGGCAGGAGAGGGAAAGTGTGAGAGTAAATAATTTATGCAACTTTGTAAAGGGAAACAAAATGAGGCAGTGATGTCGCTATGATTAGAACTGAAGAATTCACAGCTTGTTTGAGGTTTGAGTGGTTAGGCCATGTTTATGGTGACAATGAGTGTCAATTTTATGTTGCATTAGTCAAGTATATTGTAAATCACCTGAAACACTGAACTATGCATACAGACTGTCATTGTGACTTGGATGCCCCTGTGAATTTGCCTGTTCCCCCTATGCACCCATTGCCTATTTCCTGTTATGGCTATTTTTGATGGTATATCTTGAATTAATATGATCTCTCAGTGGTAGACACTGTCTCTTACACATGGCACAAATTTTCTAGGCTGCATGTTACCTATAGTTTGCTAAAATCATCCTGGCATATCTGGTAAAACTTGTCCATTTAAATAATAGCTTCACTTTCCAATCTTGCTGCATAGTGTTACCATGTTCCAGTAATTATGTTCCAGTTTCACCTTGGTCCAATTGTTTCAGACTCTTTAAGCAAATGTTTCATATTAATCCCTTCTCTGATTGTAGAGTTATTCACCATTGAACTAGCAAGTCTCCTGCTATGTTCAAAATAATGCTCAGGCCTTCAAGCACAGAGCTTTAAATTCCTTTCCATCCAGTCTGCTACAGTGGAAAGAGGTGTGAGCACTGGAAAACTAGGCATTTCCTGATCTGTTTAACAGACAGGAGGATAAAAGGAAGAAGTAAAAATTGGCTTCTGACATCACAAGTTCTAACTACTAGCTTCCTTCTGTGATGTGATTTGTTTGACAGTTGCTTATTAAAGAATATTGAAACAATCTTAGATTTAGGGTATATAGATATATTTAGGGATATAGAGATTTTTGGGATTTTGTGTACTGCATTACATAAGATTTTTGAGCTATATCACTGAGAAATTGTGATACTACAAACTTGTAGAGAAATTCATACAGAAGTTATAGAAAGTGTAAGTTCTCTGAGACCAGAGATAAACTCTAAAAGAAACATGAATGTAGACTTTTTTTAGCTTCCAACTTCCTATTAAAACTATAAAACTTCCATTAAGAAATCAAGTAAAACAAGGCAACAAAAGAAAAGAAAGAAGAAGGAAAAACAGTCAAAGGTGTTTGCTTTAAAATTACATTGCAGTTTTGATTTGATGACTTGGCACTGCTGTGCAAAATAACATTTTTCAGTCTCATTTTTTTTCTTGCAGAATGACATTGGTACCTCAGGGCAGGTTTAAAGGACACTGAGGATGATGTATTCTGATTGACAATGAACACAGCTAGTTGATAAACCAGGAAGGACTGGCCATCAAGTCAATGAAAATGTATTTTTAGATTCATACAAATTAAGCTTTTATTCTTTCCTTCAGAATCCTTTTCTCTTCCCCATGCAGTACACTTGGACGTACCAGGTATGTGTACCCTTACAGTTTCACATGACAACAGATTCAGAAGATACACTCTGAATTTCACCTACCATTCTGATGCCATTCTCAAAAGCCTGACGTGCTAGAGAAGCAGGTCCATCCACAGTCTTACCGTCGTCATCAGGCCCCCAGCTGGCACTGTAGATGTGGATGTGCTGGGGATTCAGGCTCAGAGACTTTGCTTCTACCATGTCTGTCACATCTCCATCCAGCATCCGTACACCTTCAGGATGAAACACACAATGAACAGGACAAACAAATTCAAAATGCTTTTTTTTTTTTTTTTTTTTTCTTCCCAGTGAGAACTGTTGTGTAGGTTTTTGGAATGAATGATCATAAGGATTTCTAGTGTGGAAAAAAATCTCTTTGAATATATTTTTCTCCAATGAAAAAAAAAAAATTCCATATAAAAAATACAGAAAGGAAATAGTATTACAGTCTTTCTTTCAGTTTTAAAAGCTATCTACTTAGTTTATCCACTGTACAACTTTCAAACCTTAGCATCAAATTTTTATGCTGAAAACTTCTTTTAAAAGAACTTGAATAGTGAAATGTTTGTGTGTTTCACTTGAAGATACAGTATATGATTTTATTTCTCCTTATATACAGCTGTGAAACTGCAGCATTCAATCTGAGACCTTTACAGTCCTACATATGCTAATAGGCATAAAAAATAGGATCTCTATTGACAGGTAAACATGGAAATGAATATTCCTTCATTTTATGAGGCTGAAAAGAAAACACTGGGAAGAAAGCTCATGTGTGCAGATACGTAAGTACACATAGTAGCAAGGCAACGTTAGGAAGTCACTATCAAATATTCAAGGTACCACATTATTCAACCTGAAACTACAATATTGTGAACATTCTCCTCTACGAAGAAGCTTTTGTATGGTACAGTCTGAATTTTTTGTGCTAAAAAAATCTATTCACATGGATTTTGACAAGACAATGTGCCAGCCCTTCTAAAGTGAATGGTATTATTATATTTTAAGATCAGTAGAATAAGTAAGGCTTAAAACTGGTAACTAAAGAAACTTTTGACTATGATTTTGACTGAAGTTAAGCCCTAACTGAGAAAAGCACCATAACCAGTCTTAGCCTAAATAGGGAAGAGCACCTTCATACAGCTAGTGTGACATTTGATCAAAGAGATATTAAATATTACACCATAATCAGCATATAACTGTAAAGAGTAATGATCACTTCCACAATTAACTAGTTTGAAGCTTTTTCCCCTTTAAAAGACAACTGCTATTTTAAAGCCAAATTTACATATTTTAATTACAGACATATTCTACTTTGGTCATGAGTTCAGACTGCAGTAACTTGAGTGTTTACCAAGACCTTAACTTTCAATTAACAAAAGGCATAGGGGCTGCTTTGTTGATAGAGGGTCTTTTTTTTTTTGTCTTTTTTTTTTTTCTCTCTCACTCTAATTGACTCAAAAATGAAAAGTGATCATATTTCTAAGTTCACACAAAAGCTGCTCGTGTTTTGTGAGATAATAAACTTGTCCAAACAGTGATCTCACTATGAACTTTACTTTATAAAAAAGCCATTAAAACAACTTTAGGAATCTCAGGTTTTATTTTTCTTCCTCAGCATAATCTCAGAAAATTAATGATGGGTGGAAGCTATGTTCCCATTTCTTTCAAACACATTAAAATATACTTCATTCTAAATAAAGACAATAAAAGGTACACCACATTTGAAATAAGGAAGATAAGACTTCCCTTTATGTTTCTGTGACTATGTAGCAAGCCTAAATTATACAGCATTCACCTGGTGAGCAGTAACTCCTAATGCTGCCATGGCATTTGAAATAATTTATACTAGTTTTCTTAGGTGATGGCGAAGTGGTCAAAAAAGCTATATAGACAAGGTCGTGCCTTAGGTCTTGCTCAGTTCTGCCAACAAATGACAGACATGTTTCAAGTGTAACTTTGATCAATGGGTGGCTCATTAGCTATTAAAAAAACTTTTCCTTCTCTTTTTCTCTCTCTCCCCTCCATTTCTTCTTCTTCTTCTTCTTCTTCTTCTTCTTCTTCTTCTTCTTCTACCCTCCCTGCAGCCCCCAAAAATCTGGAGGAGTTCATTTTGCCAATCACAGAACCTCCAAACTGCTTTTGGCACGTGGTGATAGCACAACAAAAGCTGTCCAGAAGGCAATTAGCAGACTGTGTTTCCAGACTGTTCCACCTAAGACTTTAGAGCTCTGTAAACTTTTTCCAATATTTTCAGTAAGTGCCAAAATGTAAGTGGCATTTTAGTCAGAACAAACTTTCAGCAAATCACAGGAAACATGCAAAACTGAGCTGAAAGAAAGTTTTCTTCTAAAATGTTTGTTTTTAATCAGAATCTGACTTAAGCTTAAAGAAACAGCTGAACTAATTCCTCGTCAGCTGAAGACAATCTACATCTGTTGTGCTGTAACTCAGTGTAACTGTTTTCCCGTCAGGATTCCAGCCCAGCCAAGTAACTAAGCACCCAAATCCCTGCAGATGCTTTGCAACTTCCACAACCAGTCTGCAGCAATAACAACAGGCTAACCATCCCTTCCTATGAAAAGCCCCACGTGCTCTGTAGGTGGTAATTTGTTATATGTGAATATTATGGAGGGTCACACATTTAAAAAAAAAATCTACCCCTTTTGTGCATTGGCTTGTCTTTTAATGAAAGGGGCCTGTGGCTGAGCTAAGCACAAACTACAGACACATTGCATATTTTTTTTACAAGAAGCATCCCACAACCTATAAAAGAATTGAAGGTCCAAATTGTATTTTTTTTTCTCATATTTTTGTATCTGTGGATAAAGTCCCCACTCATACCATTTTAAGAGAAGCTTTGGACTTTTAAAGGATCTTCTTTTTGACGTGCTTTGTGGTTAGAGATTCTTAAGTGTGTGGAAATGAATCAAGGAGAGCAAATACATTTAGATGAAAAGTGACCATTACTGGTGGATAACTTGTTAATGACTTTTTATCACAGAGGTCGTTAATTGGATTTGCTCAGCTGCCAGTATTTGATGGAATATTGATGGAAAGGATTTATTTTTCCCTTTGCTTTATTTTCTTGCTATCTTTTATGTCTCTACAGATGCAGCAACTCCCATTTTGATTTGAGGTAAGGAATACTCATCTTGGCAGAACAAATTCAACATCACCACTGGCTAGTGCTACTCTGTGTAAAAAAAAATATAACTATGTTATCTTGACTCTAATTTCTTCTCGAAACAGGTCAAAGGAGGGTCTTTAAATCCTTGGGAAATAAGTGAGCTGAACACTAGTTCAGCATAATATGATTCAACATTTTTACACTCCATCTGGCCTGTGGAGAGGGAACACAACCGCTGCATATTCACATGTGTAGCTTATGGCTTTTCTGAGGGAAGGAAGAGAGGCAGGCCAAATACAGGACGGCAGCTAAACTCGTACATATAGGCACCTAGTGGAAGGGAAAACTCAACCTCCCTTCTCAACATTCTGAAACTCCCTCTGGTCTCTGATTTTCTGCAGATGGTCTGCTGAGGCCTTATTTTCAAATGCCAATGATTTTTAAAAACAGTACTGCCACTATAGTATTTTTTTGTCTCTCTTTAAAGAATTATTTTCGTTCTCACCGTGGAGTGAATGCTCCACAACATTATTGGGCCAAACAGAGAGAATAAAATTTTTACTCAAGTTAGAACAATGAAATTTCTTGAAGTCTACTATATTCTTAGCACAAAATAAGTGAACACATTATGAAAAAGACACACAGTTTTTGCTCTTCACAGAAATTGAGTTCATACCACGTCCTTCTGAAACATTTTATACTATATTTAGAAAAAACTGTGATTCTGCTAATATGCCTGTTGTTGTTGTTTCTCTAAAATACTGTCATTGGACAATCCTAATGGTGAATAAATAATAGCCCATTAAGAAGCCACTGTTAATAATGGAGAGCTTCCCAAGCACATGCCCAGGCTGTCGCAGGCTGTGTGAATATCCAACTCACAAGTTAAACTTTTACTCCAGAAGTCACCTTTTATTTTTATTATTTCACTAACTCTCCTCAGATGCTGGTTTGAATGCAGTAAATCTGTTCATAGCTGCTACTACATGATTGAATGCCATGCCAACATGAGACAATCTGTTCATCTGCCACAAACTCACTTGGCCAGTTCAAATTTTTTAAAGCCTTCTGACAGGGTAACTTCGTGCAGGAAGGCTATCTGTTCATCTGCATCACCCTAGCCATATGTTAGATTAGGTATTGTCTACCCTCTTGAAGCCATCAGGAAAACAGAAAGGTGCCATTAGGTTTCCATTGTGTGCTTTGGCTAATTTGAAATGCAGTTGTGATCACATTTGATTTGAATCAAACTTTTACCATTGCAGTAGAGAAGAGATACAGTATTATTAATTGTGGAAACAGCCCCAGCCCTGTCTGCTTGTATTTTTTAACTGTCCTCTACTGTGTATTTAGGTAAACACATTTCTGTTTTCACAAAGAGGCTCTATTTTAGATCAGTAAATCAACAGTTAATAAGTTTGAGCTGTAGGTCTTTGTACTGAAAGCCAATATACCAATATCATGTTTTCATCAAAAATACAGGAAGCAACCTTACTTGAAGCATTACAATCTGGCTCAGGCAGGCTACAGCCTAGAAGACATGTAGATGACATCTTGGCAGTCTTTTCCAGTTGCCAAAGGTATTGACCAGCCATTGGTTAAGAATTGATAGAATTGGAACCTCTTGGCTGAACAGAGCAAAAAAGTATTAACAGATTTCACACTTTAGACAATAATCTGACTGGTCACAGGGATCAAAAGAAGATTCTCTCCAACCACAGCCAAACAACACAACAAAGGTTTAAGTTTTCACATTGTTTTATTTTAGAGTGACATGCAAATATGTGTACTTTTACTTCTGATTTATCAAAGCTCATTACTTGGAGCTCTCAATCTGCAAGAAAACCCAGATGTCAAAATTCTAGGTTTTGTATTTTCATGGAAGGTCTCACTTCCTATGCTCCTGTGTGTATTGAGAGGCAGTGTTCCCAGGAGCACTGGAGAAGTGTCACCACAGACAAACTCCTTCAGTACTGGTCTTTAACTACCCTAACACTGTGATTTCCTTGTTAACACAGCTAAGTTTGTTACCCATACAAATCTCCTTCTCTTGTTGAGAAAGGTCTGCATGTGGCATTTAGCACAAATGGCTCTTTGGTGACTTTGGTGACTTTTTTTTTTTTTTTTTTTTTTTTTTTTTTGTGGTGGGAGATTGTTTCACATACCTCCAATCTTGGCATTAAAGGCGATTCCCACTGTGCAGTGTGAGTTGTTTGCAGTGGCTGCCACTTCTCCAGCACAACGGGTTCCATGCCTAGAGTCAGACAAACATTTTTTCAAGTAAGCACAGACTGTTGGGATTTACAGGCATTGGCTTTGCTCATCCTCAGGTGCTAAAAGTGCAACTATCCACAATGTCCTGCACTATTTAATGACCCATAGTAATTTATACTCACATTACAATATTCCTCTGAATGCATTCTAATATTATTATTACAATCATCTTAACCTGCTCTTGACAGGGTTTCTAGCTATAATAAACAAACATGATTTGTAGCAAAGACATAAAAAGATGATACATAATTCCCTGTAACAGAAAGAACTCTTGGACACCAATTCTTAATTTTGAACCAATACTTAGGTTATAGACAGAATTTTTGTCCTGCATTCTCCAACAATCTCCTCATGTTGCTAGCATGTATATTACTATACAGCATCCAGTGAGCACCCTCAGTAGCCATAGCATGAGGCACACTTTTCCATGAAGATGAGACTGTTACAATGTCCGTACTGCTCTTCACAGCCGTGCCTAAGACATAAGTCAGGTATGCTCAAAGCTGCCATATAGGCATGTTCTGGTCTTGTCTTGGTCTAACCCTGCAAGCCTGGTGTCTTGCCAGGACCTGAAAAACCAGCTGGCAGCGTAGTTGATCTATGCACAAGATCTAGTGCCTGGCAGTTGGGCTGCAGATGTAGCATCTTAACAAACTGCTGAAGGTGAATGCAAAACCTCTGGTGATTGCTTACACCCCTCCTCACTGTGCAAGGCTAGAGTGGGATGTCTTGGCTAAACCTGATCCATGCTCTCTACAGTATGATGGTGGTCATTCATATGGCCGCTATGGTAGGAAAGCTGTCCCTGCTTTTTGAGACTTTTGCCTGCAATATGGGCTTCACAAGGTGATTTCCATGAGTAAGTTTTCCCTCATCCTTGTGCAATTAACCATCCCCATTGCATAAATGTGACACAACCAACAAGGAACAGACAGAGAACTTTAGATAAAGAGTTTCAGACCAGACAGGAAAAAAGATGGGAAGTTTATGAGATGAAGACAGATAACGTGGCTTGGGTAGACACAAAGTAAGAAGTTTAAAAAGTCAATGCAAAAAATTGATAACAACATGGCTAGCACTTCAGAAGAGGCGAAGTGAAGTCAGTTGTGTACACAGGCACTCTTCTGCTAGTGGTGGTTGACAGACTGCTTACATAGACATCTGGAGTACATGGGTGTTTTTGAGCTAAGGTTGACGCCCACATTACAGACAAGAATCACAGTTGCTTTCTCTTGGTACAGCTTGTTTTCAGTAGAGTCATTCCTTATTTCCATATTATTAGCGTAACTTTTTCCCCTTAACCTTTCGAGACATTTAGATGAGAAACACTATGACAACTTGTTTGGAATGGCTTAATGTAAATCAAGAACAACAACCAAGAGACATGACTAGGAATTAAAAAGAGGATACAAAAAAAGAAGCAATAGAAGTGATCAGCACTAACCTGTTAGAATTTCAAACAAGACAATTCAATTTAATTCAATTTATCAGGTAAGTTATATATATTTATTCTATGATGAAAGTGTAATCTTTAGTTACAAAACCTAAGTGACAAGTTACATGTTGATGAATCCTAATGCTGGATTAAGGTTTCACAACTCTATGTATATCTTGTCAAATCTCTTCTTATTAATCTGTTCACAATTCATCATCTAGTTGCCAAACTTGACCAGAGGCTTTTTTTAAGATTTAATTTGAAGTTTCTTTTTCATATGAAGCCTAATTTTCAAGCCTGATTTTCTTCATTTTAAGAAGGCTGGTCTAACTGAAAATGTTACAGCAATTATTGTAGATAACTAGCAATAGGACTAGAGGGAATGGCCTCAAGTTGTGCCAGAGGAGGTTTAGGTTAGAAATTAGGAGACATTTATTCTCAGAAAGAGTGGTCAGACATTGTAATGTGTTGCCCAGGAAGTGGTGGAGTCACTGTCCCTGGGGGTGTTTAAGGAATGGTTGGATGTGGTACTCAGAGACATGGTTTAGTGGGCAATATTGACAGTAGGTGGACCAGATGACCTTGGAGGTCTTTTCCAACCTTAATGATTCTACGATTCTATTATTGAATTATTTTCAAAAATCTGAAGTCAATTTTGGAATCACAGATAAAAATGAGTTTTAAAAAGATCCTTGTTCATTTTCAAGTATTTTCAAATAACATTCAAATAGCGCTTCAAATATTGTTCAAATAACGTATTTGAAGCAGTGCCCATCTAAAATGAATGCAAATGTAAAGGAAAATGTTGTTCTTAAGAGTTGCCTTCAAGACACATGATTCCCAAACTTTCTCTTCCTACTTTATGACTTTGTTAGGTCTCACAGGTAAGTTTAGACGTGTTACAACTCAGATATCAAAGCAGAGATTACTATAATCACTCACATCACTCTGATGCATATGTTTTATTAACAAATTGCAGCCTGCGTGGTGATATGCAGGCTGAGATGCTGCTTCCCAAAGAGAGGCTGTGTAGGCAAGGTACCCTCCTGGGTGCCAAGATTGGGAAAAGCATGAAATGGCAGTTATGTGAGGAAGGTTTTTCAGCTGAGAAAGGGGTCAGGTAAAGCCTCCCCCTTGAGGGAATGCTGCCTGAAAAGAAATGGAAGAAACAGCTTGAGTTTCTCTGTGGTTCACAGAAGAGTACATGGACACCTGCTGCCTTGTTAATCATATCTACTGAGCACCAACAAAAGCTTAGATTTCCACTGGATCACCAAAAAGACCCTGTTCACTCCAGTGCCAGTTAATGTTTTGTAGATGGGACACAGAGGGCATGTGTGGTAGGTGTGGAGGGAGCAGAGCATAACTAACTGCCCCTTCAGCAACCCACAGTACCATGGGATTAAATGCAATGTGAAACCATACCACAAATTCCATCTGAAGTGGAAGTGGCTGCAGTGGTAAGCATACTTCTAACTTCTGTAAGAAGTAGCCAAGGCTTTAAGTGTGGCATGGAGTTATGATGACATATACTTATTGAATTAAATAACAGTATGAAATTTCATGTAAATTTCTGGTAAAGCATATTCCAGAGAGAACTATATCTTTGGACAAATATGCAAGTTAAATTAACTTTGCTGTAACTTTGTCTTCTTCACACATTGGAAAATCCTTCTTTTTATCATATCTTTAGTATAGTAATGGTAAAAATTTATTTTGTAAGCAGATTTTATGTTAGACCCTTGCTTCTCTGCCAAGATTATTGCTAATTGCATTCCACATTTATAAGGGAAATGACAAAATTAAAAGTTGTTTTATTAATTTCAAGGTCATATGTATAAAATTGCATGTCTCACAATCAACTTCCCACTGTGTGAATTAATCATATATGCAACTCAATTTATTTTAATATGTTATCTTTTATGGATCCTTTAAGTAATATTTCAATTATGCTGCGAAATGAAAGACTTTCTAAAAATCTGCATATAATAAATTATGTTCTTTCTGCATTGCTTTTAGCTTTCTCTGTCCTAGGTTTTGCTTGAGGTCTACACTTTGGCACAGACCCTGAATTCTGCAATTAAAATTAGAAAAGCCTTCTCATTAATCGCTACAATAATTAATTAATTAGATAAACAAATATGATGACACTGATCCTTAAAATTAATTAGGTCTTCTTTTAAGCTATGAGAACTTCTATTGAGAATGAAATCCCCAAAATTTCAAATTACAGAAAGGTTATGGGGTAGCATGTTATAGGATTTAACCACTAATTAGATGTGAAACACCTAAGGTTCTTTCAAGCTAGCATTTTTTATGAATGTGTATATTTCAAAACATGGCAATCTCCTATCTTTGTGGAATGTCTGCATCACACACAACTTATTTAAAAAGTTGATGCAATCATAGAAGAAAGCATGACTACTCTTCTACAAAGGCCTATCTCAATAAACTTTAAGGGTTGATGCTTCATTTCACTGGTTCCCTTGACAGCTTATGTTGAAGGGAAATAAGTTCCCAGGCTATTAAACCACACTTTGAAGAGACACTCAGCTGAAAGGTTTTGCACTTGTCCTTTGTGTTAATGTCAGTGTGATGTAGTATCATGGAATAGAAACATGAAAGAATGCTTCATTACGAGACATTCTGCCCATCTACAAAGGGGTCTTCTACCTAGAGTATGTAAGAAAGAAAAGGAATGGAAGAAGAAGAGCTTTCTTTTGTTTGTTTCATAAGGAGAGACATGAAAAATTGCTATTCAGACAAGATTTGGGCTCAAGAGGCCATCAGATAAAAGACAGATGTCACAGGTATTATCTTCAAAAAAACAAAACAACAACAAAAAAAAGAAGCCACCTGTAGTTAGATGCTTATAAAGTTGGCTAACACCTCCTACCATAAAATCTATTTGTTATATGATTCTGATTAAGATTACATGCTTTAGATAATTCTTCCATTCAGGCAACTATGTAAAACTTTTTCAAAAATGTATATATTTTCACTTTTATCTGTGATAGACAGAACACAAAGAACCAAGGAAATATATAGGAAATTCAGATTGATTTTCGTCTCTTTTTATAAAGGGGAAATTTGTCAGTCAGTCACTAAACGCAATTCAGTAACATGTCAAAGACCTCTGCAAGAAGACCTTAGTAAAGACAAATTCTCTACCTTATGATGCCCTCACTATTACAGGGAGAACTTGAAATAAATTGACAAAGAGGTACACTTCTGTGAATAGATGTATGCCACTTTTTTATGCTGCATGCATGAATAGCGCTAGAGCACTAGTAGAGTAACGGGTCTTTTGATGGCTCTCTAAGAATAAGAGATAAGCAAGAGAAATGTAAAAGCTACACACTATACTGTTACACAATGTGACTTTTTTTTCATCACCAGATTTTCTCTGAGAGAGGAACAGGTCAATATTTCAGGCAAGGGATGAAAAGAGAACGGGTGTATGTTCTGTGATTAACTATCACTCCCCATCTCACCATAAGACACCTATCTTTAAATTATAAGTCTTGATTTGCGTTTGAAAAGAG